CCAGAGTGATGAATCATGCTTCTTTGTCTGCCAATCCGATGGATGTGTCTGGGTTTGGCGGTTGCCAGGGAATGGTACTTTCTTGACTGCAATGTGCCAAGTGTAAAGTTTGGGGGAGGGTTGGACTATGGTGTGGGGTATTTTTAAATGCAAACAGTGGTGTAAACACATGAATCTGACCTGGTATCAGCCTCTTGCAATCCCTGTACAGCAGAGCTGATGTGTGAGTGGAAAAAGCAGAACAAAGTACCAATCAGATCATGGGATGACATGAAGCACGCTGATAGGTGGAGAGAGCAGACTAACAGAGAGATGAGCTAATCACTGTCCTTTCCTTTCACTGTCAATTCACAGGCTGGGGACTGTTTCACGATGACCTGGACTCAGAAGTGGGTTGAAAAATGCTGGTCATCAGCTGAGCCCATCTTATGGCAAAAATGTACTGTGGGGGAAATCTCTGGATTGAAGATGAATACTGCAGCAAAATCTGATATTGTTATTTTTTTTTCTTTTACTGGGCGATTCATTTTTTTCCTGGCATTTCTGGCTTGAGTTCTACTTTAAAATATATAATTTTGCTTTTCTTTTACTTGCAGTTTTTTTCAGTTGGTGACAGGGACTCTAAAGCCTGGTATGCACTAGAAGTGTTTTGTTCACTCAACCCAGCAGGCAAACGAAAAAAAAAAAAAAAAAAACTAGAGATCTCTGTATCAACACATGCGTGTTAGTGCAGCAATCTCCCCCAGTCAGTTTCTGCCAATTTACGGCCCATGTGTACAAAGCTGTAGTCGTAAGTGTGTATGAGCAGGACCCTCTCTCCTATTGTTCCTTGGCTTTGCTAAACATGTGTCCTCATCTCTGGAGAATGTTATACATTGCATTACCTGAACCTTATTATATTGATTACTTTGTGCAATGGAGATGATGCCAATACACATACAATAATGTTAGCAATAATAAAAATGACCACCTCTGTGTTTGCAGGCTTTGTAACACTTTCTGTAAGGGTGGCAAGTACCCAGTACCACTGGCTTTTGGCAATGATTGCCATGTCTGGCAAGCAGTGTAGCAAATGACATTAACTGCCACTTGTTACAAAACCCACGATTAGTTGTGAAGCTGGTAATAGAGATTCTAGCTCTTGTAGCAGCTACCCTCTCAAGTCAAGATCATATAAACAAATCTTCCTCTTTGCATTGTCTGACTTGTTTTGTATTGATTATAATATAGCTCAGTGAATATGAATGTTGCTTCCATTGTATAAAAGTAAACTCAAAATACTAATTACTGTCTTCTGACACTATATGGAGGAACTTCTGTTTATTGTTTTACAATGTCATTTTTGCAAGACACAATGCTGCAAAAAAGCTATTATCTTCTTCTGCATTAATATGGAAATTTTCATCACTGGCAATTAATAGGAGAAATCAGAAATGATTTCAGAAAACAGATGAATCTTAGGTAGAAATGGAGCACATCTGCTAACAAAATAAAGAAATAAGCAACATGCAGCTTTTTACTCCCTGACACATTGTTCTCTTGTGCTGGAAGTTTTCAATAGTTCAGCAATTAAACTTGTGACAAAATACAATAGACCAAGCACTGTGTTATCTCTACAGAATGGAATGAACTTACCAAGACAATACTCCTTTTCAGCACATTGATTACCGAGATTACCCTGCTATCCACTCCAAACAGCTGGTAAAACAGTCACATCATTTTGCTAATAAAATACAGTTGTTACTATCATTATGATACCATGTTGCTACATATGTATATGGCATACAGGTGTCCCTGTTATTACCCGAAAGTGCTTGTTGATTAATTCACACATTCACCACACAGCCAAATCTGCAGGGGCCCAAAGACATACAATGACGCTCGGATGTTAAATAATAACACCAGCTGCTTGAAGATCTTTTACCAATTCAGCTTTTATTTACACATGCATTGTCATATCCCATAAAGGTGTATGTGACTGAAAGAAATCTCAGTTGATGCTCTTTTTTTTTACTAGCACTGAAGAATGTGGTAATGGGATGAAAATTTCCAACCCACATAATAGACATTTTATCAGTCGATGTCATCTGCTGAGATCTGCCCAATCGTTATTGAATCCTGCTCAGATGGAAGGCTTTAGAGCCACCTTTCCCAACAAAGTTTCTCCAGAGGTTGCTAGGGGTTCCTTCACAGTGGACAGTGGCAGATTGACTTCCTGCCTGAAATGTAAGGGGGCACTACACTGACTACCAGTGCAATGGGGTCCTTATTGTTATGACCACAAATTTAAGGGGCACTAGTCTCACTGGTCCAGGCATCCACCAACGCAAGGGATTACTGCACTGACCACAAGGTAAAATGATGAGAATATCGGACGAATTATCTTTTTTTTTTGCATGCTAGTCTCGTATCAAAAGTGAAGAGGTTACTAAAGTTACAAAAATTCTCGTATGACAGAATAAAAATTTGAAAAATGATGTAATGTATTGTATTTTTGGATAAAAACTGTGCTGATTAAACAAAAACTGTACGATCTGGTATTGTACAAGGAAACTTTTCGTGCTTGTCCCTTCAAATAATTTCAGATAAAAACTGTGTACTAATGATCAGATTATTCTATGATTGCTTCGAAAGCATTATTTTTCATACAATTTTCTAACTGTGTGTACTAGGCTTAAGGTAGTAGTACATTGACCAACAATGCAAGGAGCCACTTCCCTATAGACCACAAGTGTAAAAGTAGTACTAGGCTCACCAATGTAAGAGTGTTACTTTTCTGGACATTATTATTATAAGGTGTCAAAAATGATCCACCCTGGATGTCATGTTTTCTTAATACAAACATGATTTTTAAAAAATAATTTTTGTCACACCACTTTTTCAGTAATTTAATTTGATTATTACTGAAAGTAATTTTGTCACCTATAGCAGGGAAGTGTCAAAAAATTATCCTGGATGTCTTGTTTGCCTAATACATCATGTCATTTTTTTTTATATCTTACTTAACTAATCATACTAATAAACCACATGAGTTATAAATATAATATTCCCTAAGCCTAGGGTCACACTAGAATGTGGTGTGGGAAACCCACAAACCGTGCAAGTTTCCCTTACCCCATTCAAATCACACTTCCCTTGCGATCCGCAGCTGGTGTCAGTACGAAATTAATGACACCCCAAACGCAGGTTGCAAATGCAGTATGTTTGCCTGCACTGGATCACATGGTACATAACGACCATGCAATCTGGTTGCAGTGCTGCTCCAAAATTGGTGCATGCAGGTCTTTGGTGTGATGTAATGTGATTTGAGCCCATTGCAAATGAATGGGCTTAAATTGCACCGCACTGAATCGCATGTGAACTGCACAGAAATGCAGTGAGGTTTCTGTGCAATTCATATGCAGTTCCTAGTGTGAATTGAGGCTAAGAGCTAAAAATTAAAAATGTAAAGATTTCTTCTGGTGTAAAAAGTTTGAAAACAGATGCTTTAGATTATTATCTAGTAGTATACAGTATGTGTGCTTTTTTTTAAATGATGCGAAGGACCCAGATGATACCATGTTATTCATATACATATGTACTTTATATGCGGTTTCATTCCTATAACCCCAGGTCAACCATAGGCATATGGTTGATTTTAGGCAGATTAGGCAATGATCTTTATGTTTATAGTTTCAGGCAAACACCCCAAAGCAACATTCAATTGGCCAGGCGAGATATCTTAACTCAATTGCTATTGTTTCTTCAGAGATAAGAGTGGCTTGCAAACTCCTCTCTATTGCATAAACATCCATGAGAGATACAGTTGTTTGCCAAAGAGTATCCTTCATCAGTCACAATAACCACATGTCTGATTACCATGTAATGCTTATGGACAATGTAACTGCCAATAGGTAGAAGTGTGCAGTGTCTGCTTACCTTAGCTTTGTTAGCTCAGAACAAGAATATTTCAAATAATATATTCTAATTAATCATTTGACACTGTACATGGACATTATATAGTATAGACACATTACCTAAAAACGGTCTTCAACAGTTTGACTGTAAAAAGGTGCCAGCACTTCCACTGTAGTTAACGGAGATATTTTGGTGTCTGTTTTTTGGTGAATTGTATGATATTAATTTTTTTTTCTAATATTTGGTCTTGCAACACTTTTTCAGTGCAAAAGTAATATTGGTGCTGATTTCCCAGTATGCTAAAGTTTATACTTGATTTTTTTTTAATTAGAATGATCATCCGCCATAATTGCCAGGCAAATAGTCGCTCCTTATGCACTGTTGTTGTGCTAATCTGAATCTGCGCACTCCTCATAGTGAACAATCTACTGTAGCCCATAGTAGCTATTATCATTATTGGTAGCGCAAATTTGTACAGCTGACGCTACTACATGGTTAGTGATCGCTAGAAAATAATAATTGGGTGATGCAGAAATCACTGGAAATTTTTCAAAATAGTTGAATGTGCTAAGCATTTAGGTTACAAGATAGCAGTTAGGTTGAGGTTTCAGTGATGTAGGTTGATTAGGGATAGGTCTCAGATACACTATATTGCCAAAAGTATTGGGACGCTTGCCTTTACACGCACATGAACATTAATGTTTAGGCATGAATCTATGGAAATGTTTGACCATTCTTCCAGAAGCACATTTGTGAGGTCAGGCACTGATGTCAAATGAGAAGGCCTGGCTCACAGTCTCCACTCTAATTCATCCTAAAAGTGTTCTATCAGGTTGAAGTCAGGGCTCTGCACAGGCCAGTCAAGTTCCTCTACTCCAAACTCGCTCATCCCTGTGTTTATGGACCTTGCTTTGTGCACTGATGCGCACTCATGTTGGAACAGGAAAGGGCCATCCCCAAACTGATCCCACAAAGTTGGGAGCATGAAATTGTCCAAAATGTCTTGGTATGCTGACACCTTAAGAGTTCCCTTCACTGGAACTAAGGGGCCAAGCCCAACCCCTGTAAAACAACCCCACACCATAATCCCCCTTCACCAAACTTTACACTTGGCACAATGCAGTCAGGCAAGTACCATTCTCCTGGCAACTGCCAAACCCAGACACGTCCATCGGATTGGCAGACAGAGAAGCGTGATTCATCACTCCAGAGAACACGTTTCCACTGTTCTCGAGTCCAGTGGTGGCGTGCTTTACACCACTGCATCCGATGCTTTGCATTGCACTTGGTGATGTAAGACTTGGATGCAGCTGGTTGGCCATGGAATCCCATTCCATGAAGCTCTTTATGCACTGTTGTTGTGCTAATCTGAAGGCCACATGAAGTTTGGAGGTCTTTTGCTATTGACTCTACAGACAGTTGGTGATTTCTGCGCACTGTGCGCTTCGGCATGTGCTGACGCAGTTCTGTCATTTTACGCGGCCTACCGCTTAGCGGCTGAGTTGCTGTTGTTCCCAGTTGCTTCCACTTTGTTATAATACCACTAACAGTTGACCGTGGAATATTTAGTAGCAAGGAAATTTCACTGATGGACTTATTGCACAGGTGGCAACCTATCACGGTACCACACTTGAATTAACTGAGCTCCTGAGAGTGACCCATTCTTTCGCAAATGTTTGTAGAAGCAGTCTGAATGTCTAGGTGCTTGATTTTATATACCTGTAGCCATGGAGATGATTGAAACACCTGAATCCATTGATTTGGAGGGGTGTCCCAATACGTTTGGCAATATTCTGATCATTGATCTATGCCCTGCCTAACTCCAATTTGTGTCATTGGATACTGGTTCTGAATGATTGTGACTCTTTCATTTTAATCAGCTGGTTCACTTTCATGAGAAATATTGCAGTGTCTGCACCCCTTCAGAAGTACTTAACCCTTAGATAGAATCTCGCCAAAAATGACATTTTTGTAGCAAAGGGTCATAAAGCCTGACTTTTATCCTGTGCAGAGTTTTTCGCCCAAGCAGTAAATGACATTTCTGTGGAAGTTCTGTACACCAACTATGCGCTGAATGCCTTCAGGTTGCCACAATGCATTGAATTTTAGAGAAAAGGCAAGCACTGCAGTTTGAAAGAAAAGGTAATTTTAAAAACATTAACAGTGGTATTAAACCCCAAACCAAAAATTTTATACATTGCAGCTTACCAATGATTAGATATGGTGGCTGCATTTATTTTTGTTTTTTTGCTTTCCCCTCTGCTTTCACCTGGTGATCTGGCCAGTAACATACGTAAGCCTGTATTAGAGTGCTCCCACTCTGGATGAAGGAACATGGGGCACCTTTGGACAGCAGCATTGTCAGTATGAGGTGGTGAGGTAGTGTTAGATGTATTAGCAGATTTAGATACAATAACACATTGAAGACAACCTCCAATTTACACTACAGTTACACAACTAGTCACAGCAACAGTTTTTGTTTCTTTTGGAATAAAGGTTTTACAGGAATTAATAAAAACTGACTATTGTAAGCATCCCTGGAAGTTGGTTTGTTTTAACACTGATATATTTGCAGGAGAGCTTGTACTGTTGAAAAATAACTGACTTACTGGCAGATCACCTGGTGAAAAAAAAAGGAAAGAAGGCCTTAAAAAGAAAATGAACACAGCCATCACATCTAAAAATTGGAAGGCTGCAATATAATAAATGTTTGCTTTTTGGTTTAAATGATAACATGGTGACAACAACACTGATGAAATGAGGGATGAACTCCAACAAATGATGTGCTGCAAAGTTGAAAATCCACTCCAAAGGTGATTTAGTATCCAAACTGAGAGATGATCAGACCGTCACTCAAAAGAAAAAAGCGAACAATCATGGTGCAGTATGTTTTAAAAAGCATCAAACTTTAATGAAGAAATGCACTTACAAGCAAGGTGTCCAGACTGACACCAGTGTAAACAGCATGTGTAATGAATATAGGCAACTCAGACCCAGCCAAACATGCACATGCAAAGTGCAGACAAACCAGGAGTATTCTGAACCTCACATCCAAAGGCACCGCCCTAAGCTTTTCGTCATCGACATCCTCATGGAGCAGTTGATCCGCTCCGTGAGGACGTCAATGACGAAAAGCTTAGGGCGGTGCCTTTAGATGTGAGGTTCAGAATACTCCTGGTTTGTCGGCACTTTGCATGTGCATGTTTGGCTGGGTCTGAGTTGCCTATATTCATTACACATGCTGTTTACACTGGTGTCAGTCTGGACACCTTGCTTGTAAGTGCATTTCTTCATTAAAGTTTGATGCTTTTTAAAACATACTGCACCATGATTGTTCGCTTTTTTCTTTTGAGTGACGGTCTGATCATCTCTCAGTTTGGATACTAAATCACCTTTGGAGTGGATTTTCAACTTTGCAGCACATCATCTGTTGGAGTTTATCCCTCATTTCTTCAGTGTTGTTGTCACCATATTATTCATTTCTTCCAGAATAACAAGTACTATATGCTGGTTTTTCAACAATCAGCATATTACTCTGGTGAGTTCTATTTAACCATTTTTGGTGGTGGATTTACTTGGTGATGAATTATTTTAGACATTGATTATTTGAACTTTTGGACTTTCGTTTTTGCTGGATTTTATTTTGATTTAAAATATTGTTTTATTGTTTTGTTATTTATTTTCTTGTTATACTTTTGTATGTATTTAAGCGCAACCTATTTTTTTGAAGTTTTGTATATCCTATAAATTTATAGGCTAGGTTTTGCAGCTTGCTATTTTATATAATTTCCGTGGCGCTGGTTCTTTATTTATATATTTAAATGATAACATGGCTTATGTAGCAATTGTATATGTCAAAATAATTCATTTGCTATTTTTTCCATGAAAGTTGAGTGACTCTTTAAAGTCATGCTTGAATTTCAGGCTTAAAGTGGCTTTAAAGCTTAAACATTTTTCATCCTAATGCATTCCCTGCATTAGGATATAAAATGTTTCAGTATTTGTATCACCCCTTCTTACTCTTTTCTGAGCCTGATCTTGATCCAGTGCTGTGGCTGTCTGTAGCAGCTCTCTGCTCTTCTCCTTGCTCTCACAGGCTGAGATCAGTGGGAACCATTGGCTCCTGCTGCTGTGAGTCAAATCCTATGACAAGGGAGTGGGTTTGTCTAAAGGTGCAGCCAGTGTGGCTCAGGATTGAACCCACAGGTGTGATACACCGAGAAGAGGAGGTGACAGGAGCTCCAGTGGGGAACCCGAGATAAGGATTGGGTCCACTCTGGAATACCACAGAGCAGGTAAATTCAAAAAGTTTGTTATTTTAAAAGAAAAAATGTTGACTTTACAAATGCTTTAAAATACACTTTTTGGGGGGTTTAAGGCCTAGAGATAGTGATTAGGGTTACTGTAAATAACATAGTTTAGGTTTTTTTTAGGTATGATTATTGTTGACCTGAATTACCATTTATACTGTCTGTGCCAATGCCAAATACATATTGAGGACAAAAATGTACTCATTTATAAAGTATTGGTGCTCACAAAAAACTATTCAGATGATGCAGCAGCACCAAAAATAACAACATCAACTTCAAGAAGTCACCTGTAGACATGTCATGACATTTGATTAATCGCCAGAACATTTTTTTGTAAATTTGAAACAATCATTCATATCTTGTCCATATATGACAAATGTTTTGAAGTAGTGAAGTGATCTCTGCCTTGAAGCAATGGAAACAAATTTCCATCTTGTCTGTTTAAGATTTCCTTCAGAAACGATCCTTCAAGGTTAAACGTAACTGCCAAGTTATTAATGGGACCTGACAAAACTACAGGCATCAGCCTGTAAGCACAATTATGTGCACAGGTATAGCTGGCTGCTCTATTGCTACAAAGCCTCCATAGAACTGCTGACTTATTGGGGTTTTTAGCAAAAACATGCTAAGCTTAACCTAAGCACTTTAACCTATTGTCAGTGTGATTTGCAATGTATCGCTTGGCCATATAGACAGGACTTGTCCATAGAGTCTTTGCTGTGAAGGGGAGTGGAGGGTCATATCTCCCATGCTCATCTCCAGGACTTCTCCAGAGCCTCTTCCATCCTCTGGAACTCTCTATCTCAGTCTGTCCAACTATCTCAAACTCTGGCCACCTTTAGGCCATCCCTGAAAACTAAATTTCTTCAGGAAAGCCTATCCCACCTGCAATGAACAACAGAACTTTTACACTTCCATCACCCCATCCCCCACAGTTATGACCTTTTTTACCACTTGCCCCATCCTATTGGATTTTAAGCTCTTATTAACCATTGTGTATTTTATTGTATTGTAACTGTACTTGATGAAGAAAATAATCCACATTACCGCCACTGCTCTTAAAATGTTCATTTGTTGTAAAGACCACAGTACATGTACCACCAATACAGTAAATTGATACGTTTCAGCCTACATGCCATTAGTTATAACTTGAGTTATGATTAAGCCGTGTAGGCTGAAACGTGTCAACGTACTATATTTGTGATACATGTACTGTGGTCTTTACAACAAATGAAAATTTTAAGCCTGGATTCACACTTCTGCTGTGCAGCACATTGCATGTGATTTGCACAGGAACCTCACTGTATTCCTGTGCAAAACACATGCGAATTCTGTGCGTTGCTATGGCTCAGATCACACTGCATCTGCACCAAAATAGTCCAGGACCCTTTTTTGTTCGTATAGAGTTGGATCACATGAGTATTCACACCCATGCGATACGATTCTGCACATCGCACAGCATTTTGTGAAGCAATTTAGGGGTGTTTTTAACTTAACATACACACCTGCAGCGGTTCGCATGAACAGGGTGCGATTATAATGTGGTGCAGAATTTGCACATAAACCGGTGCAAACCCCACACTGCATCAATGGTGGTGGTGCGGATCGTTTTCTTCATCAAGTCACATGCAGCTGAGCGATTGTGGGTAACTGAAGGGGTAGTAGCACTTTCTTTTTTGCTTTTTATCTTGGACTGTAACTATATTGTCTCCCTTAATAATGTAAAGCTCTGTGCAAACTGTTGGTGCTATATAAATCCTGTATAATAATAATAATAATAATAATAATCTATCCTCAGGGGCACAACTGCACTAAATAATTACTCATTAATTACATGGATAAACCACATGGTTTTACTGCCCCAACTAGTTGTGGAAGATACAACTGGGAATATACAATATACTAATTTTACAGCAGCAGGTTACAGAAACAAGGACAAGGAATTTATAAATGTAAATATACCATCCCCTACCTTTTCTAATAACATCTGTTGAGTAAAATTCCCCTTCGGGAAGTGATGCTAAATGAGAAGCAAAAGAAAAAATATTACAAATATGTGTTTTGACTCATTACACTGTAATAATTATGCCTAAAAGGCAAGCTGTATTTTGTTCTTACAGCAGTAGCATGTTTACTTACTTCTCCCATTTATTTGTACATTTGGAAGGCAGTTTGAAATGTTATTTAGTGGCTGCTGCAAGAATGAAGGAAATGCCTCACATGATTCATGAACACATTCTCTCATTCTCTGAGACAGGCCAGCTAAGTCTGAGCAGTCAAAAACAGCCGGCTGAACTGTCCTGGCACAGTGAGAGACCTCAGTCTAAGAAACGTCATAAATCACAAGGCATATTACTCTGATACTTTTCCACACCTTGAGAAATTAAAATG